AATGAGCTGAAAATAGATAATCACTTTTCTGGCTCTGTGACAGCTAGAGCACAGGCATGTGGCCTAGGCTCAGCTAACTAGAATTATCCACCTGAAATTTTTAACATGGAGATAGCAAGGCAGGATTGGGAGAAATCCTTTTGGTAGGGATTGGAGAGGGAGTGGAGATAGCGGTTTGAGCAACAGCCATGCCAGTGATGGTGTCCAATTCAGATTTGTGGTAGAGGCTGGTGCATTCATATTCTGTAGTTCAGTAGGAATGGTGTCCTCACTCAACTGAGGTACAATTTTGCTTGTGATTCTGACTATACGGCCTTCCTTTATTCTTGGCCATTTCCAGTTCAGATTCTCCAAGCATTCTTAAACTTAATTGTGCTACCCAATTTCCTTTTAGTAATTCTTTTTCTGCTTTAATTGGCCAGAATTTGTTTCTGTTGCTTGGAACCCATAATTTGAACTGATACAACCAACTACCATTTATTGAGATCCTACTATTTGCCCCTCAACTTGATAAACTTTAGTTTGCTTCATCTATTTCTTTCTGTAAAGTGGAAATTATTTCCCCCATTTTATCTTGTGAAAGAACAAAAATGAGGCTTAGAGAAGTTAAGTAGTAGAAGAATTTATTTTTCTGTGTTACTTTAACATCTCCAGAAGAGGAACGACAAAACATGTGTGTCCTTCAAGCACACAGCCTGTACCTTTGTTTTATATTTTCTTTGCAGTCTGTAAGTATCAACAAGACGTTGTCTCCTATCTAAAAAAAAATTGACTCTTCAGCTTAACCTAAATAAATAGGTATGGTCTGGGAAAAGACAGATCTTTTATACTTTAAAACATTCTGAAACTTTTTATTATCAAAGTTATTTACATTTATAATGGTAAAATCAGAAAACAACTTAAAACTCCAATAGTGGAAAGTAGTTAAATTATAGACAATACTTTTGATGGACTATTATTTAGACATTTATAAGTTTTTATTTATAGAAGCTGAAATGATACAGAAAATTATAATAGTGAAAAGAGTAAAATATAAAGTTATATATGAGTATGTTTACAACCTGAGAGAACAAAACTTTTTACAGTGTAAAATATTAGAAATAATGCCAGAATTGCAGTAAACTTATAGAAATACCATGAAAAAGAAGAAAAAATATTATAGATTTCAAAGCTCAGTCACAGAAAAAGGAATCCTGTGGTCACCAACAAAAGATGAAGAATGGAACTTATTGCTGTGCTGCATAACAGAAAAATTTGCTGTTATCAATGGCAAATGAGAGGACAGGATTTTGTAGGCATTTTATTTCAACTAACTGGATATGAATTTACCATTATAGTAATGCAGATAAATATGCTTAGGCTTTCAAAGCCTAAGCATAGAAAAGAAGAAACTGGAAATGTAATGTTTGAGTTCAGGATGGGACTCAAGGTGACTATTCTTCCTTCCTTGCTGGTTTTTTTTTCCCCAATATTCTTTCATTGAGCATTACTTTGATTGAAATTCTAAAAATCAAAAAGCAATTCTATTACTCAGCAAAAGAAACAATAAGGTGTTCTGAAAATCAGAATATTGACATAAATCTCTTTACCATTCCCTGTCTATAATAGATAAAGAAAACACAGGAAAAACAATTATTAAAAAGAGTAGAAAAGTCTTTTGAGAAAAGCACATAGCACTCCTTACCCTGGAAACAAAATACATTGATTATTTGATAAAAGGAACTTTTAGCTTCTGTGAAAGGAAAATATCCTGGGTCCCCAAAATCACTGAGCTAAAGGGAAAAGTCAAGACAAGAACTGCTTAGGACAAACCTGCCTCCTCATTCTATTCAAAGTCACCCCTCTGCTCCCTGAAATAAATGCGTATCTGATTGCCTCCTTTGCATAGAGGGTAATCAGAAACTCAAAAGAATGCAACTATTTGTCTCTTAACTACCTATGACCTGGAAGCCCCCTCACCAATTCGAGTTGTCCCACCATTTCAGACCAAATCAATGTTCATCTTACATATGTTGATTGATAGCTCATATCTTTCTAAAATGTATAAAACCAAACTGTGCTGTGACCACCTTGGGCACATGTCATCAGGACCTCCTGAGACTGTGTCATGGGTGTGCGTCCTCAACCTTGGCAAAATACAGTTTCTAAATTAACTGAGATCTATCTCAGATTTTTGGGGTTCACATTTTGGTAACCACAGAGGGATTCTGAGTGTAGGTGCCCCTGACCTTTGACAAATCTCCTATGGGTGCTTGGTACCAGCTTGAGAGATCTTTATGGCTCAAACCAATAGAATAATTTCCTGAGGCCTGGAAGCACCCCATTCAGGGTATCCCTGATCTCCCAAAATTTGATTGAGATCTAAAGTTTATTTTGCTGTACAACTCCTTTTTTTTCCGGAGTTTTACTTGCCTCCAATGAAGAGGGAGACCCAGGCTTCTCAGATCAACTTCCCCTTTGACTATCATGCTGTATTTCAATAGAAGAAAAGGTTGACTAACTGGTGCCTCCGGTTTTACCTTCCTATAGGTGACAGGCTACGCCTTGGGGAAACTCTCCAGAAGGCACTGTTTTTACTTAAAACAAGATCAAACCAGAAACCTTTCCACATGTGAGTCCTAAAACTGTAAACCGGAACCCTTTCATCTGTGATTCCTAAAACTGTAAACCAAAACCTTTTCACATGTGAGTCCTAGAACTATGAACCTAAGATTCTTCCACGTGTAACGTCTAAAGTATAAGCCTATATAAAGGCAGAACCTTCCTTTGTTAGAGGAGCTGGGCTTTTGACAAATTACTGCCTGGTCTCCCGGCCAAATAAACTCCTCCCTCCTTTATTCGGTGTTCAAGAGATCCATTTCCCGTGGCCTCTCCTGCTACACCAACACAAGAAAGGCAAGTTTTTCTGCTTCCATGATGATGGAAGGCAGATAACTCCTTTAGGGAATTTGAGGTTGCTTCCAACAGGGAAGATGAGGTTTTTTTCCTGCTTCTAGGATGGTAGAGAGAAGCCTTCAGCTTAAGACCCATCCTTAGATAAGTAACTGAATTGCAGTTTGTCTTGGCTAAAGTTAAGATTAACAACCAGCTGGTTGTAATTTCTTACCATTAGAGCACTCAGTAATAACATAAGTTGTGTGATCATTTGTTTTTCTTAATTTTTTTTTCTGTTTCTGTTTTTGTTACTGTTTTGGTCTTTTTACCATTGAGTTTGATCAGCTCTATCCAACTTGATCAAATCTGAAGGAAGTTCCAAATTTTGGGGAACAAGGCCTCCAAAGTGGGTAAATTCCTACCCCGCCCCCCCAAAAAAAGGCATGTGCTCAGGGGAGAAAAATGGCCAGCAAAAGGAGAAAAAAAAGAAAGGAAAGATTTTTTATTTTGACTACTAAGGGACTTTATTTACAAAACAAGGCCACCTTTTTACTAGCCAGACCAAAGAGAAAGAGCAATGGCTGTATTTCTGAAATTGCAGCAATTTGTCCTAGTTGAAATATGGTAATTAGATTTTAAAAGATTTTTTTAAAAAGGAACTCAATGGTTAAAAGTCAACTTAATTAGAAGCTAATATCCAAGATGTGTGTTTGTATGTGTGCATATGTGTGTGTCTGTATTTAAAAGGCCTTCATGTCTTTTTTTTTTTTTCTCCTAAAAGCTTGTCTTTTTGAAGATTCACAATTCAGAGTGGGCATTGCCCAGAGCTCAGAGATCCGGTGAAAAGATAAGTAGTCCCTATTTAAATAAAATTGGACTCCTTATGCAATCCTATGATGGATCTCTGTAATTTTATTTTTGATTTGGCATCCACCCTTAATCTCCCTCCAGCACCACCAGACTTATTCTTTCCATACCTTATGATGTAAATTTTGCTATTTGAGTTTTACCTGCATTGTTTCTGTTAACATGCAAATTTAGGGCTATTTAGCTGACTACGGCCTAGGGTTGTGGAACAGCTTATCAAGATTCTGAAAGTCTAAAATAGGGAAAAATAAAAGATTTTTTATAAATCTATAAAATGTACTTCTATTGGCACGCCTAATAGATCTATGTATTTATGCATTGTGAACACAACGTTTCACTACTGATATAAAAGAGCTCTAATTAATTATCTTAAGAAAATAAAAGCACTTTAATCAGATACTTTATCAGGAAAAAAGGAAGGACTAGTCAAATGGTTTTTCCTTTACAAAACTTAAGTAAAACCATTAGTAAATAAACTAGCTTTAAAATTATTGGTAAAGTGACATTAGAAATGTCTTAAGAATTACCATCATACATTTTTGTTTGCACATATTAAGCAATTTAATACTTAACCCTGCCAAATACTACAAGATGTCAAAATTGGGCATAGAGGTTACAAAACTATAAACCCAGCCCAGGACAGAACGATCTTTGCTTGTGTAATTTTTAATAATTAAGACTTTGATATTGGTTTAAAAAAGATAGCTACATCTTGAATTTCATAAGATTACCATAACTTCTAATCTTGTGGATTTATGCAGTCTAGTCCACAAACAGTAAGGTTTGTTTTGGGAAAACACTGTTATTGTATTTGTTTCAAAGCTAAACTATAAACTAAGTTCCTCCTCTTTTTAAAGCAAACTAAATATGGTCTGAAAAGGACTCTGAACTTCTATATTTGAGTCCTTATGGATGAAGTGCAACCTAGCTTAATAGGTAGACAAGATTGAAAACCTAACTTAGAAGTATGTTCCTGTAACAATGGTTGAGTCTTAGCCAATCAACCATTCACACACTGCTGAGTATTCAAACTGTGTTCAAAAAAGGCAAATGCCAAACTGTAACCAGTATAGCCATTCTGGACCTCACTTCTGATTTCTGTGGATCATTTCCTATTTTTGTTTATAAATCTTCCACCATATTGCTGTGCTGAAGTCTCTGAATCTGCTGTGATTCTGGGGACTACCTGATTTACAAATTGTTCATTGGTCATTTACGCTCCTTTAAATTTAATTTGGCTGAAGCTTTTCTTTTATCAGATGGTGTCAGAAGCGGGATCCGAGGTAGAGCTTCTAATGAGCCCTAGGAGCACTGAGTGAACAAGCAAGGTACCTGCAGGACCCACTTTTCGTCCATTGATCTCTCAGAGCCCCAGGGGATCCTGGGTAAGCTCTCTCTTGGATGTCAGAGCTCCATGGATTTGTGCTTTTAGCTCTTTGAGTTTCTTCAAGCAAATTTCTGATCCAAACTGCGTTTGGAAGTCACAACAGAAACTGGGCTGGGTCTGGGAGTGGATTTGATCCAGGAATTAGCCGTCTTGGATCCAGTTAGAGGCTCCTTATATCTGATTGGGTCAGAAAGGAACTGGTAGTAAGCAGTAATAGTGCAGGGGTTATAAAAATTTAGCTCTTGGAAAATCACAGGGATTTTTGTGTTCTACCCCTTTGCTTCATTTTTCTTGCATGCTCAGTAGGAAAAATCAACAGAACCTGAGAGTAAAGCCAGTATTTTAGGTAAAAATGGGATTCTTAATTTCTGGAAAACTGAGTTATTTCCAGCTTATACATTAGGCCCTGGAGGCAGTGAAGTCTTATAGAAATGGCAAAATCTTACTAAAGATAACTTACAGTGGAACATTCCACATGAACAACAACTCATTGAAGTACATTTAAAAATGACGGTTCTCAGTAAAGGCCCTTTTGGCTAAGAACAGGTTGGGCACTGTGGGATGTTAACTGTTATTGTTTTTGGATTAATCTGTATTATATGTTTTGCTGACAGCTATGGGTGACAGGATAAGGCATGTACAGGACCATGGGACATGGTAGCTTTTTCCTCCCCAAAAGGGGAAATTTGAGAGCTTATGGGACTGCTGGAAAAGATCCCTTTGCTACCAACAAGTGACTGCTTGAACTTTTCAGTGTTGCTGAAGTGGGTGGGTCTTTATCTGGCCTCCCTGAGCACTTCACCTTCCCTACCCTGCCACAGGCAATACTTTTTTTCTCTTCTTTCCCTTTCCTATCTTTTCTGTTACTCAGGGCAGCCATCTTGCCCAGAGACCACGTGTTGAAATTCCTAGCGGGAGGTTGGACTAAAAGATGACAGGGCCCATCTGAGGGCAAATTTAAGCCTTGCTAGTTGATATTGGATGTTAAGCAGAATGGCTAATGTCTATGTTTCATCACACATACTTTACTCTGGGCAGAGCAAAAAGAAGATAATTTTCCTTTATGATGCTGAGTTGGCATCCTAAAGGTTGATGGTGCAGCAAGGTGAATCCCTAGGGCTGCTTAGGGAAAGCTGGGTTAATAGGGCTGCTTTGAGAAGCCTGGCATGCTGGCAAAAGTGTTAGAGTTCCTTAGCAGTCAGCCTTCTGGCTTTTCTCCCTCTTTCTCTGTGCAAACTGGTTAAACAAATGGTAAAAATTAATGCTTCTCTCCTCTGTAAAGTTTTGATTAATAGAAAAAAGAATTCTGAAGTTGGTCTTAAGCTGTAGTGAATCTGATGTGCTTTGTGTGTTTTCCTGTGTTGTTCTGCCATAAAGAGCAGTTGTCTTAGGATAAAATGCATGCCTAAAACCTCATAAGCCTGATGTTTAAGATGGCCCAGAAAAATGGTCAGTTATATCCTTGGGAGATTGACCTTGTAACCATGTGGCCATGCTTTCTCTTTTCACAATGGCGGCCTGAGTTCAGGGTTCAATCCCTAGCTTAAGGGATGAGCCTTTCTGGTTGATATTTGGGTGAACTTTTCCATTTTTTGATTCTCTTCCCCTCCGTGAACTGTCTTAAGTTTTCCTTTCTCAAAGCACCTGTGAGGTTACTTTTGGTAAAGTTTAAAAGCCAGAAATATCAGCTGTTTGGCCTGGCTAAAGTTGAGCAATGAGAAATTTTAAAAGGACTTTATTAAAGAGTGCTAAAGTTAAAAGCTTAATTAAAACTGAATATTCAAGCTCTAACATCCTGGGACTCCTTGGGAAGAACAGAAGTCACCAGAGACCTCTTACTGGTCCTGTTTTTTCAAGGACTCCACCCTAAAGCCTGTAATCCAGTTAAGAAACTTTAAAACTGACAAATGAAAAGCCTTACAACTACTATAGTAATCTTCTTCTGTCTGTGCAGTTATGTGTGTTGTGTATGAAATGTTTGTATATAACTGTTCTAATTGTCTTAAAGCACTTATATAGAATATTTTGGAAGAAAAATAAAAACTGTAATATCTTTTAGTTCATGTATCTTTACTAATCTTTGTGAAATAAACACAGCTTTAAAGATTATTAATAAAATAAAGACAGTCTAAATCATGCAGGTGAGATACTAGGTTTGCTTAATGCTTTAAGGCCATAAACTGTTCTGACTTTTAAAAATTGTTCAATTTATTTTGGACACAAATTTTAAATAAGGCCTGGGGATATATGGAATTAGCCTTCCCCCTAGCTAGGCAAAGAAAGTTATAAACAAATAATATTTTATATAAGAAAGAATGTTGTATGGTAAATTCTTGTCCTAAAGTAAAGTGACTAGTTGTTTAAAAGGAGGGATGTTTAGGACAAGTCAGAAAGCCCAAGAATATCATAGATGATCTGTATAAGTCATGAAGGGATTTGTAAAAGAAAATTTATGCACAAAAAGTGAAAGTTGCTAAGAATTACCATTGTAACATGTAATTGAGACTACTGAAAAAGTATGTTTACATGCAAGATGTGTGAAAATAATGAAAGGTATTTTGAGTAAGAGATTTTAAGAAGGCATGGAATATATAATTGTGCCTAGAGAGTTAAAGGACTGTTTTAAATTAAATAAGATAAAGCTAAAGGTCTAAATGAGTTTTGGAAGGTTTGTAAAAATGAACCTTGTAAAAGAAATAATATGTGTGAAAATATTGACTAAATTTAAAGGGGTACTATGCATTTTTTTCTATAAATTGAACATCAAATAAAAGCAAAACAGGGTTTTCTTGAAGCACTGATCTGCTGTTGTTTTGTAAAGGGTTATAAAAGGTTTATAAAAATCTTGCCTTAGTGTCAAACTGATTAAGATTAAGTAGATTTTATCTATGAGATTTCATTAAAAATTGGGGTTGACATTATAGTCCACTAATACAAGGATGAAATTTGGTGTTCTTACTTAAATGAGATTTTCATGTAATATTAAATGATAATGAAAGATATTTGTTTTCCTAATAAATACACTACCAAAAAAAAGAAAAAGAAGGGAAAGACAAAAGACAGATTGTTTGGAAAGCTAAGTCTTCCTTCCATTAATGAGTAAAGTTTTTTTGCCTTTTAAAAAAATTCCAAGTCATCATTTTGGCTAAACGAACAACTTGGGGTGACCTGGAATTCTAGTTCATAATACCAAGTGTTTTAAAGCTTTAACGTATTAAATAAGCTTCCTCAAATCAAATTTTAGCATCAAAATGATCTTCTTCCTAAAGGTCTCAAGGAAAGGTTTTCTTATAGCATAATATTCTGTGCAGTGCAGAACGTCTTTTCTTTTGTCAGGTAACTGGCCTAATGGATTTTCCGTTTCATTGAGATAATTCCTATGCCATTATTATTAAGTTAGGTTTGCTTAGGAAAAACTGAGGTTTAAAAAAAATTTTAATTAAGGTTATTAGATCATTGAATCTTCTTGTATGTGCTTTTTAAATCTTTGTGACTTTCCTTTTTTTGGCAGAGTCTCACTCTGTTGCCCAAGCTGGAGTGCAGTGGTGTGATCTCAGCTCCCTGCAACCTCTGCCCTCCCAAGTTCAAGCGATTATCCTGCCTCAGCCTCCTGGGTAGGATTACAGGCACCTGCCACCATGCCTAGCTAATTTTTGTATTTTTAGTAGAGATGGAGTTTCACCATCTTGGCCAGGCTGGTATGGAACTGGTGTTACAAGGGCTTTAACTCCTGGGTCTAAAAAGAACACGAAGTCCTACTAAATTTTAAACATTGATAGCAATCAAAGCCTCATCTTAAGACCTGATAGAAAATGCCAATCAAAATAAACTGCATTCCTGAGACACAGGGTCAGAAATTAAAGTTATTCAACTCCTCAAGGCCCAGGAACAATTGCAGAAGAGGTGGGCATGTAAGATTGGAAGGGCCAGTTTTTCGAGATAAAATAAGTCGTTTCTCCATAAACTAGTCATTAACCTGCAAAGGGACAGTGATGCAAGACCAGGTTATGAGCCCTCGTGTCAGATTAGCAAGGTTTTTTAAAACATTAACTGACTCCTTAATAAAGGTCACAAAGGTTATAAAGGCTTATGGAAGTTATAACTTATAATCAAGATAAAATTTTATACATTGTTTATAAAATTTTGGAAAACAAATTTAATTGGCTTTATGCTGTTTAATTAGGGCTTATTGTTTGGAAAATTTGTTTCCTCAGAGAATGAAGGTTTTTACCTTTCTTTTTTTTTTTTTTTTTTTCCTTTTTTAGAAATTCTTGAGTTATCACTCTGGTTAAATGACTTATTTTACAATGACCTGCAATCCTATTTTGTAGTATCAAGTGTTTTAAACCTTTGGTATTTGACAAACTTTCCAAAATCAAATTATAAATTATGTCATTTTCTGATGTAATTAATCCTTTAAGATGTTATTCATAAGTTCCTTAAACTCCAAAAGTGACATATTTGACTTATTTGCTATAAAAATTATACAGAAAGCATTGTCAAGTATGAAATGCTGTGTGTTTTTCTTTGGACTATATTTGTATAAATATGTTTTTGATATGTGTTCCAAAATTATGAGAATTTTGGAACTCCTATAATTCTGATATGACTTAATGTATGTTATCAGTAATAGTTATAATTGTTACCTTGAATTATTGTGTGCCATGGAGGTAACAAATTACCTTGTCAATTGTGTCTTTGACTATGGGTGCCCTGAAACTTTTTGTCATCCGTGGACAATTCTTGTCTTGTTTTGGTCCTCTTTAGAAGGTGGTTTTATAGTCCTCTATAAAACTCTAACAGGTGCTCTAGAATGCAGGTTTCTGATAACTTTGAAGATTGTGACATCAAAATAGAGGAAAAACTTTCAGGACTCATGTAGAACTGAAATGTTCATGAATATCAAGCAGAACAGGAATTAACTTCATGGACTAAACTAATAGAAGACCAAAATAATCTTTTCAAGTTTTGATTAAAACATTGCTGACCCTTTGTTTTGCTTTTCAGAGTAAAAAAAAAAAAAAACTTGTATTTACAGATTTTAACAATTGATTAAAATATATTCCTATGAACAAAATTTGGAGCATATTTCTTTCTCTTTACCTTATTTCTACAGAATTTGGAAACTATTTGTATTCTTAACTTGTGACAATATAGTTAGTTGCGTAAGTGCAATAAGAATCTGTTTTCATTTGTGACAGGACACAATTGGAGAAACTGGTTATGTTACCAAGACTTTTACTGGAATGGTGTGTTTTCCTTTTAGGGATCAAATTTATTGAGCCAATAAAACTCCTTGGAAAAACTGGCTGCATACCGTTGTCTACACAGTTCCTGTAGAGGGTTCCTGACCTGTGGAAAGTAAAGAATGCACTTTCTGACAAGTCCAGGTACCCAAGTTTATCTTGGAACCTCAGGAGGAGAGGAATTCACCAAGTCATAGGATCATAGGTATTTAATGGTACAAATACACGACTGGGCTCGGCTTTAAAAAAATCTTATCTGAGATTCCTTCTGTGCAACAAAGTTTCATCAAGGCCAATTTAAAAGCTTAGGTAGGATGGGCTTGGTGGCTTACACACATAATCCCAGCACTTTGAGAGGCTGAGGTGGGTGGATCACTTGAGGTCAGGAATTCAAGACCAGCCTGGCCAACATGGCAAAACCTCATCTTTACTAAAAATCCAAAAAAAAGTTAGCCAGGCGTTGTGGTGCACACCTATAATCCCAGCTACTCAAAAGGCTGAGGCAGAAGAATCACTTGAACCCAGGAAATGGAGGCTGGTTGCACCATTGCATTCCAGCCTGGGTGACAGAGACTCCATCTCAAAAAAAAAGAGAACAGCCTATGTAAAAATTAATTATTCTTGCTACAGTATATACAAATAATTAGGCCAAGTACAATAAAGCAAACTAGTTCTACCATGTTTTGTCTTTAGTAAAAATGGGAAACTGGAGAGAGAAAAATTAGGTTTCAAAAACTGTAGTACACCTATGGTTAGATTATAGTCTTACCTATGGTTTTTCAATTTTTATTATTTTCTACAGTTTGGATCAAATTCTAATTTTTTCTTGGCTACAAGTCTTTAAAATACTGTTTTCATTTTTTTTTTCTTCCCCCACCACCTTTTTCCTAATTCGGAGTAACTAAAAACTAAGCTGTGCTTTCATAAAGCCCTGCAAACTAAAGCTAGACAACTTAAACTTCAGAAGAAAATAACAGCAACCTATTTACATTCATAAGCCACTTTCCTACCTGCCTGCTGATGTATGGACTTCAAAGTAATGTGGCCTATATTGATTTTCCAGTTTGTTATTTTTCTCCCTTCCTCCTCGTATTTTTTTCATAGTACATGAGACTTCACAACCTTCCAAAAATGACCTTTTCCTAATAACTTGAGACCCACCTGTCTAGGAATAAATCATCCTAGCCAAGAGAGATCAGATGAAACCTTAGACCAAAGACTCATTTTCTTCTAAAATGCTTTCTCCAAAAGATTTTAAAAATTAAACTGGGGGAAATGTGAAAAGAAAATACTTTGGGCCCCCCAAATCACTAGGCTAAAGGGAAAAGTCAAGCTGGGAACTGTTTAGGGCAAATCTGCCTTCCATTTTATTCAAAGTCACCCCTCTATTCACTGAGATAAATGCATATGTGATTGCTTCCTTTGGAAAGGCTAATCAGAAACTCACAAGAATGTAGCCATTTGTCTCTTAACTGTCTTTGACCTGGAAGTCCCCTCCCTGCCTTTCCAGACCGAATCAACGTTCATCTTACATAGATTGACTGATGTCTCATATCTCCCTAAAATGTATAAAACCAAACTGCTCTGACTACCTTAGGCACATGTTATCAGGACTTACTGAGGCTATGTCATGGGCATGTGTTCTCAACCTTGGCAAAATAAACTTTCTAAACTAACTGAGATCTCTCTCAGATTTTCAGGGTTCATATTTCAAATGACAAATATAGCAGACAGGTAAAGTTGAAGAGGAGGCTGAAGGATCTTTTTAATATTAAAGGTTTCATTAAAGCAAACTGATGAGGCCCACTGGCATTAGGAAATTAAGTTCTTCATTTGTGGGTAGAGAGTTTCTTTATACAATTTTTTGCATAGAATGCTTTCAAAACCCTCAGCGGATATGCTCAGAGCATAACAAAAAAGCCAAACAAAGGAGTGCCTAGACAAGTAAAGCTTTCCCCTCTGTAATCAGTGAGGTTTCACATCTGACAACTTCCTCTGAAGCGGCTAGAGGCCCTTTCTATCATTATTAAAAATAGATGAAAATAATCGACCCATGTTGATGTTTTGTTCTCTAAGTCAGCAATTTTTTGAGTGACAAAGATGTTTTCCAAATATAACATTTGAGTGGATCAAGTGATAAATGAGTAAGTTATCTGTGCCTCTAAGTATCTTGACATTGTACCACCATTGTTTTATTTAGCAATAAAATGTTACTGAAACAGCAGTAACGAATAGAAAACCTTCTTATTTTCCCTTACTGGTTAATGTGAGAAGACAACACTTGCCTGTTTCAGTCCCACAAAAATGGTTTTAACATAGGGGCACAGAAAATTCAAAGGTTTTATGGCCCACTATAAAACAGCTCTTTGTCTTTTCCCACTAATTCCCTAATGTCACATTTAAAAACAAGGAAACTACAGATAATAGAGGTGTTTGCAGATTAGCCTTCAAAGTCATAAATTATAACATAGAGTTTTGCTCACCTACAAATATTAAGACAGCTTATCAATGTTTAAGCCCCTTCCTCTATGTAATGATTGCTAAGATTTTAACCCAGACAAATTGAGAATTTTTTTCTTTCCTGTATTCTTACATTGACAGAGTACACATTCATAAGATTTTATTATCAGATTTCATGGTATAAAGAGTGAGACATCACCTAAACACCTACCTACACCTGAGAGCCCCTGTTTTGGAAGATGCATCTGATTTATGCTTTCTTTATTTTGCTCTCTCTTAGCGATGGTTTTAATCCTAACTGTCCTGGAAGATGTAACTGTGATTCTATGCAGTCGGTGCAATGCTACAGACTAATGGAGGTACCATCAAATATTCCTTCCACCACTAAGAGGCTCTACATTAGCCACAGCAAAATTCAACACCTCCAGGTAACTATGTCATGTGGCACTCAAATTGTTGCAATCTTACTTTGTGAGACAGAAACAGTATGGGAGGCTAGTGTGGGGCTGTTAACATTTATTTTAAATAATCATAACTTAAAAATGCTAGTGAGCAAAGTAAGGTAGTTGAACTAGCTACCTGCTTGTTCTGCACTATTGAGATGGGTATATGCCTTTGGATGTTTATTTTTAGGAAAAAACAACAAAAAGTCAGAATCATTAACTGTAGATGAGAAACTATGTTGCTGCAAAGTAAAAATAACTCTTGCTTAACAAAAAGTATATTGCTACTTTATGTCCCCAGGATTAAGAATAAATCCTTTCAGAGGAAAACATAATTTTGTTTATTCCATAGATGGAAGATGATACTTAAAGCATCATCAGACTACCAAAGCAATCCCAGTATATCAGAAGAATTCATACAAACCCTACATATCAATCAGGTGTCAGTGTATTTGTGGAAACCTATACAGCAGAAGTAATTTTTTTTGTTTTGCCAAGTTACCTGCAGTTCTCATTCTATGTGCTTTTAATTATGAATTTTATTTTTATTCCCACTTATCCAGAGGGCACTGAAAAGATTGCTATGTATTTGTCTGACTTATATAATGTAAATGAACTTTTATTTTTGATCTCTGATATTTTGAAAATTATAAGAGTTTTCATCCCAGCTTCCCCCCCTAATTAGAGATGTGACTATCTTAGGCTGGCTGTTAAAAAAATCTCTGGGCTGCACATTTATGAAGTAGGAAGGCCAGATTAGATAGGTGATCCCAGGCCACTTCCATATGGAAAATTCTATGGCTCTCTAACTTTCCTTTACTATTCACTGGTTCTCCCTCAAAGATCCAAATTTTAAGATAAAGAAATGCCTCTTTGTGAGCCAGGTGCAGAGAGGCAGGAGGTGAGTGTAACTTACCTTCAAACCGAGACACCATCCCTTTAATTTGGTTAAGAAGTGTTCATATGGGTGTCCCATAAACACACAGAGTTTAAAATATGTGGCATGGTATTTAGATGCTTTCTCAATAAACACAGTTGTCTTGTCTCCATCTGTTTGCTTTCCTTTTCTAACCCTGTAGTGCCTAACACGAGATAGCAAGTCAGTCTCCATTAAGTGTAAATGTTCAAGCAAGACACCTGGTTACAGCGTAAGCTGCTTAAATATTTGCTCAGAGGACTTGAGATGCCTATTGAGCAGAATGTCAACTAATCCTGTTAATGATTCTACACTGCTACTTTGTAGCCAATAAGATAAAATTATACCTCTTATCAAATTCAGTTATTGGATCAGTCAATTTGTTGTTGGTTTAGTTTCATTGAAGAGCAGCATTGCCACTTCCCTGACTTTAAGCTAGGTAATTATCTCTTGGAAGGACAGTTCACAACAGAACTATAATAAAAGACAGGATTATTTTGTTAAGGAAAATGAAAGGTTTTTTTTTTTTTGATGAAAGTTCTGACCAATGATACTTGTGTTTTAAAAATACTTAGGTTTTAAGTGACCATATCTCACTTCCTTTTGGTAAATACAATGAATATTCTGTTTATTGGGTTTGAATTTACAGAATCCTTCAGTATCTTCCAAAACTTCAGTACAGTGTTGGGTTGCATACTCAATTCCTGCCATCCTCATTCTCAATGAATAGCTGGCCTCCTATTTTATTGACAAATGACAAGATTTGATCTCCGTCAGTTCCTGCTCACTGTGTACAAATTTGTCCCCATCTACTTCTGCAAACTCTTTTCTCCAGAAAGGACATGTCTCTCCTTGTATTCAAGACCCTTGATTCCATCCTTCTCACCTCTCCCTAGACCTTGCTCTCTCACCTTCTGCACCCCCATATATTCTGCTGCTCTTTCTTTACTAGCTGCTCTTTACCTTCCTTGGCCTCCAGAATGCTGGGATTACAAGCTTGAGTTACCACACCTGGCCTAATTTATCTGTGTTTTGTCATTCATGCATTTGGTGTCACATCTAAGATAGCTTTACCTAATCCAAGTTCATGAAAATCTAATGCCATATTTTATTCTAAGAGTTTTACAGTTTTAGCTTGTACATTTAGGTCTGTGATCCATTTTGAGTTATTTTTGTGTTTGGCATAAGAAAGGAGTTCAGCTTTGTTCTTTTGTTCCCTCTTTCCTGTTCTGTTGCTATTCCCTGACTCAGACTTCACTCTCAAGACATGATGAACTGCTTAGCTGTGTTGAAGAGAAGACTTAAGGAGCAACTGATTACATGTGATACCAAATGGACAGTGTGCTAGGTGACCCAAATCACTCCTTTTTAGAGGATTGTAGATTTGGTTCAATTCTTTGTGTCCACATATGCAAAAAATCATTAAGTTTACTTCACTATTGCCATTCAAATGGATATAAGCCAGAGTGATATATTTTCTTCAAAGGTAGAAGACAAATGAGAATGTAGTTATGGTACCAGTAAGTTAAAATGATTGTGCTTTACATCTTTTATGGAAGAGAAGAATCTTCTTCAAATTCTTCCTAAGAAATATATAAATAAGGATTATTACTTAATGGGGGGGGATTATGGGTTATTTTATATTCTCTCCATATTTTACAGAATTTAAAAATTGTTATATGACATAAAATTAACTCACCTTGAAGGTGTTAATCGTGTATTTGTATTATAAAAGTGCTCAACTGCATAATTAAGTCAAATATTTAAAACTGTGGATAGGCCGGGCGCGGTGGCTCAAGCCTGTAATCCCAGCACTTTGGGAGGCCGAGGCGGGTGGATCACGAGGTCAAGAGATCGAGACCATCCTGGTCAACATGGTGAAAACCCGTCTCTACTAAAAATACAAAAAATTAGCTGGGCATGGTGGTGCGTGCCTGTAATCCCAGCTACTCAGGAGGCTGAGGCAGGAGAATTGCCTGAACCCAGGAGGCGGAGGTTGCGGTGAGCCGAGATCGCGCCATTGCACTCCAGCCTGGGTAACAAGAGCGAAACTCCGTCTCACAAAAAAAAAAAAAAAAAAAACAAAAAACTGTGGATAGTAAGACACATGAAATTGTATACTGAAAATTCCAGCTTCATTGAATTCTAAGGCAGATTGAAAATTTTGTGAAGATTTATCAACCTGAAGAAAACCTGGAACAATTCCTTTTTCTGCTTAAACATAACCTCACTGCTAGCACTAAATAAAGATGATTAAATCATTGACAAAAAACACTGAGTGTTAAGCTGAGAGGTTAGCAGGCATGCAGAGCGATAGGGGAACTGGCAAAACATGAAGGCAGTATATCAGATTTGGCAAATACCTAAATAGGAGAAGAGTGACATTAGGTCTGGGATATATGCATGAATGCACTCTTTGCTCTACAGAGATAGAGGGAGATAACATGTATACATTTGTTTCTTTATGAATTTTTTTTTCATTGGTGAAGTGCAAATTGGGCATAGGAAACAGGTAAACTCGTTTTCCAAAATACAATATAGTTGAAAATGTTTCCAGTAAGTGCATCCTAGTGATAGCCTAGGACATTTTTTTTTTAACTTTTAATGCTTTTTAAAAAGTGTGATTCATAATGTTAAATAATACAAAATGTACCTAGTGAAAATCCTTTGTAATCTTACCCTCTAGATTCAGAAACTGCTAATAATTTGTTGAAAAAGTTCCAGATTGTTTCAATTTATGGCTATTATAAGATGATACAACAAAAACATCCTAGTGCATGAATCATTTTGCAATTTGTAAGTATCTCTGCCTGGAAGTGAATTTACTGGGTCAGAGAATATGTAGTAAAAATTGGCCAATATTATGTGTCTATCAATGATGTGTGAAAGTGCTTATAATATTTTTCATACCTTATGCTGATGTTATCAATCATAAAAACAGTCAGGATCTGAGTTTCAACCCTTTTCCAAGAGATAATTTAAAATAGAACCCGAAGAAAAATCTGAAGTATTACTAGTATTGTAATGATGGTGTATATGATATTTTTAAACAATATTAATTTATTGCTTTTTCCGCCCTTTCCCTGCCTCCACATTTTTTGTAGCTGTCTGACTTCAACCAAGTGTTGGCTCTAGAAGATTTTATTCTGCTTGCCAGTGGAACAGAGTCAGTAGAAAATGACACCTTCAAAACTCTGGGTACTTTGAAGACCTTAGAACTCTGGAAAAATAAGTTAAGACAAGTCCCTAGTGCTCTCCCAGCCAGCCTTGAAGTGTTAATTCTAAATGATAACTCAATAAATGTCCTACATGGATCAGATTTTGAAGGACTGATGAAATAAAAAATCCTTGAACTTAAAAACAACCTGATCTCTTCCCTCTCTCCCAGCATGATTTCCTCCCTTGTCAGTTTGCAAAGTTTGATATTGGATGGCAACGATATGGAGGCTATAGCTGGACCACTGTTACTTCCCCATCTGACACATACGAGTTTGGAGAATAATAAACTACATCTTATACCAGGTAGCTTCTTTACTTCTCTACAGTCTTTGCAATTTCTCAGTTTCAGTGGTAACTTTCTGACTAAAGTTCCTATCAATCTACCCAAATCCTTGCTATCTTTAAAGATGGAAAGAAACCAGCTCAGAATGGTAAGGTTTCAAGACATGAAACACTTGGAGAATCTTTCCCATCTTTACCTGTCAGAAAACTTACTCTCTTCCATCAATGGGGCACAGCAACTTACAAATTTAACTACTCTTGAGTTGTCCCAAAACCAGCTGCAAATGTTGCCCTGCAAACTGCCAGTAAAGCTACAAAAACTTGACTGTAGCAATAATCTGACTGAGAAAGTTACAGCACAAGACTTCTAGGACCTTTGAGACTTGAAGCATTTGTTTCTGGACAACAACATTGTGAGTTTGTTCGAAGCTGGAGCCCTGCAGAGGTGTTCTCAGCTTTCCGACCTGGCCCTGGAGCAGAACCTGCTATTGTCCATACCCCTAAGGTGAGTGAGTGTTTTAAATTATTGTAGCTACCACAATAGTTTTCTGAAGCTTGGGACAATTGAGCACATCATCTAATCAAGAAAATTAGAGCAAAGGTGAATTATTTGATCACACCTACACAAAGATTTAGGGATAGAAGTTTCAAACAGAGGTGTGGAAACTCCAGCACTCAAACTAAATATTGCACTAACTTTATCTTGCTTCCGGGACAAGACACCAACAGATGATATGTATATTTGCAAACATAATATAAAGATACTGTAAAGAATGTGTCTCAGTTTCTAAGTACTGTATATGGCCTGGATAATCAATAGTCAGTAGGCCTGAGCTTAGCCACTAGCAAAGCAAGGACACCAGGATAAAATGAGGGGGTAAAATATAGTAACATATTGATATTTTAAAATGTATTGAAGTAGAAGTTATTAGGGAAAAATTAAAACATTACAATGTAATATTGTATTTATTTTGAATTACTTGTTGGGGAGCCTCATATTCTCTTCAGTGCTGTGATCTTTAAAGGGCTTAAGCCGGCTTTGCTTATTTCTCTGTGTGTCTGTTTGAATGAGTGAGTGAGTCCACTAGGTTTGTCTTACCTTGTGGTTTTGGTTATCTCTTCAGTTTCTCTCTCTCAATCTCTCTCTCTCTCTCTCTCTCTCTCTCTCTCTGTCTCTCTCTCTCACACACACACACACGCCCTCACACTTGGACTCTCTTCCCAAATATCCCTCCCTCTATATCCAACCTGCTGCACCTGTTCCCCCTACACCTCATAAATTATAACTTACGCAATATGTGTTTATATTAATTGATCCTATTTCTTTAAACTTTATTTCATGTTCTATATTTTAAAGTAGATAAAGCATAAAAATGTAGGATGAAGCACTGTTATTGTTTTTAAAATGATACTATGTTTGTCTATCTGTGGATTCTTTTTTTTCTTTCAGCGCTTTATTGAAAAAATAAAAGGCTTCTTGCCCTGGCTATTAGCATTATCAAATTTTTCGTAATGAATATACCAACTTCTGGTTTCCGTAGAATCCTAAGGTACTCTATTTACCTAATTTTATTGTGTTTTATAATATATATATATATTTAAGGCAGGGTCTCACTCTGTCACCAATGCTGGAGTGCAGTGGGGTAATGATGGCTCACAGCAGCCTCAACCTCCTAAGCTAAAGCAATTCTCTACCTTCAGCCTCCTGAGTAGTTGAGACTACAGGCATGCACCATATCTTGCTAATTAAACATTTTTTTTTTTTAAGAGATGAGGTCTCACTACATTGCCCAGGCTGGTTTCAAACTCCTAAAAAGAAATTGATCCTCCCACCTCAGCCTCTCAAACTACTGCGATTATACACTAATTTTTGTAGGCCCAGCCTATATTAATTTTTTATCAATAAAAAGGGAAAAATGATCTTTGATATGTAGAGATGTTCTTTTTTCTAGTTGAAAAGGGGATTTAAAAAAATTATGTATAACTGTACTCAATGTAAAACATCAAAAAGTGATGTTTCCAAGAGAGTTCAGTATTTCAAAATAAATACTGAAGGTGATTTCAAAGTAATTAATTTCTTTGACTGCATAAGCATGTATATACAACTACTTTAATCAATATGTTTTGAGCACTTTCTTGCCAGGTATTTTACCAGACACTTGAGATACATCAGTGCAATAAAAGAGATAAAACTTCATGTTTTATACAGTTTAAAATCTAGCAGGGGAAGATTGACAACAAACATATTACATAAGTAAAATATATAATACTCAGACTGTATTGGGTATTATAGCTTACAAAAAAAAAAAAAGGACATGATTACCAGGTTCAAGAGTGTAGTGGGTGAGGTGGCTGGTTGCAGTTTTAAATAGGGTAAGCACGGTAACCCTCATGAAAATATAACATTTGAGCAAAGACTGGAAGAAGGTGAGAGATCTAGCTGTGAAGTTATTTGGGAGAAAACGTTTCCTAGACAGAAGAACAGCCAATTCAAAGGCCCTAAGGCAAAAACACACTTGCAGTGTCTCAAGACTCTAATACTTATTATTTAAATAACTTATTGACTATGTTACAAGCCTTATTTTTTGTTACTGACTGCCCGACTCCAAGGAAGAAAATAGTGTATAAAATAAAAACTCATACAACAAGCTAGACAGTAACTATATCATGTAAAATATATGACAGCAAGCTATGACAGTCTTGGGAAATATGGTGAACTTGGTAGGTTTTTCTACTAAAGTGACTTTTAGAGCATTTTGTTGAGTAATCCTGCTAAGTTTCATGAGTGGAAAAAATAACTTAATTATTTACTCTTGCCGGAGCATTTGTGTTTTAATAAGTGATTACAGAAAGCACAATGTTTTACCCAAATGGAATGGAATTGCAAGCCTGAGCTAGCCATAGTTCTCAAATCTGGCTTCACATTAGAATTATCTGGAGAAATATTTTTAAAACGCATACTTATACCTAGGCCTCACTTCAAACCAATTAAATCAGATGCCCCTGGACCCAGGCATCACGAGTTTTGAAAAGCTCCCAGATGAATTTAATGTGCAGCGAGGGTCAAGAACCACTGTGCAAGGACAGTGGGGCCAGTAACAAGGTGGAAATGGGCTTTTCCTGTGAGGCTTAAATTAAGCAACACAACTGTCTGCTCTATCAAAGTACTTGGCTAGCTGTGATAGCAAAGTTCTTGTGACTTTGAAATACCCCTATCACTCCTCAGCCCTTTTTTGTTTTGATTGACAAGTGGGAAAGACCCAGAAGGTTTCCCTGTGGTTTTCCTCTCATTAAAAGTTAAAACATGATTGGGCACAGTAGCTCATGCCTGTAATCTCAGCACTTTGGGAGGCTGAGGCAGGCAGATCACTTGTGCCCAGGAGTTCAAGACCAGCCTAGGCAATATAGTGAGACCCCATCTCTACAAAAATTTTTTAAAAATTAGTTGGGTGTGGCGGTGCATGCCTGTGGTCGCAGCCACTCAGGAGGCTGAGGTAGGCTGCACTTAGCCATGATTGTGCCCCTGCACTCCAGCCTGGGTGACACAGCAAGACCCTGTCTCAAAAAAGGTAAAACTTGAAACATGATAATATCTATTCCTTATATTTTAATTTTAAAAATTCTTTATTTATGGCCTTTACACATTACAACTTTTAAAAAGTTGCATGCTTCTTCTTCATATACAAAATCTATACTATGCAATTCAGTTTTCTACAAGTAAACTGTTAACACAGGCAATCTGCTTCTATCACCAGTGATATTTTGGCACATCTTTTCTTTTGCCTACCATCCTCCATTCTACATTTCATCAAGAAAATAATGGTATATGGTTTTAGGTGCACATATATTCAAAGACCTGCTACATTTGCCTCATTACACTACTTGAGATAGAAAATAAGACCTAACATTTATTAAGTACTTATTAAAACCAGTAGTGAACTTAGATACATCATAATTCCGTCAAGGTAGGTACACTGGTTTACCTAATAATTTACAGACTAGGGCATTATGGCTTAGAGGTATTCAGAAACTTGATCAACATCATAGTCAGAATTTAAACACAATAGTCTAACTCCAGAGCCAGGAAATTTTAGCCACTGCATAATCCTGCCTCTGAAATTTGCTCTACTGTCAGTAAAATAACACTATTTCGAATGCCCAGGAACTGGACCTCAGTTGTTTCTGCTTCAGATTTCATCAATTTGCAGGTTAGTGAATAAATATAAATTAGATTATCTCTTTTTTATCTACTCTTCAGATTACTGAAATCTAGAATAGCTTCTTACAACCTAATGCAGTTAGCATTTTATCTTATATCCAAGTGCTATCTACTGGCAAAATGGGCTATGCCCCTTTTTCATCCAAAAAGCAATAGCTACCCAAAGAACATGATAGCATTTCTAGAAAACTGTTAATTTTAAAATCAGGGCTACTTTAAAATATAAATTAGACTTATAAAGACAAATTATATCAAAGCAGTAAGTGACTGTCAGTCACCAAACCAGGATAAATAGTGATTTCTCTTGCAATGTCATTTTGGTGACGACTTTCATACAAACAAGAAAAAAAAAAGCCTAAGAACAGGCACAATTTTGGGATACATATCCAAGAACTGGATAATTGTACATTTGTTTCATAGAAAACTTGCCTAGCTTATTTTCATTATCTAACATTGGTTATAGGACTTCTGTGTACTGAATGCTTCATCTGGAGGATGGAAAATTAGGATCTCTAAGAAGCAAAATGACTTATCTAAAACCATGTAGTGGTAAATAGAATGGCTCAAGTTAGAACACAAGTCTTAATCCATTGATACTTTTTGACTCCTGTTTAGCGCATCTTTTCTGGTTAGGCTTCATTGTCCTCTGCAATGGGAACGAAGTGTTGCTTACTACTACACAATCCAACAAGTCTATTTTTTCCTTGGCAGGGGGAAACCTATACATAAGAAATTTTCTGTATACCATTTAGATAAGCTGGTGTGTGCACAAAATTATATTTTCTTGTAGATTAACTTTGAATTGAATTAATTATCAAACTGTTAGAATGTATAACATGATTTTCCCTGGTAAATTAATCTACTTTATTAGGTAAAATTTATTCTATCTAAGGAGAAGACACTTTAAATGATTTTTACCCAAAAAGTACAAATACTTACGTATACATACTACTGTATAGTCTAGGATATGATTACAAATATAAAATGATGAATTTAATTTAGTTTAAAAAAGAAAACTCCAAAGGCAAAATTTAGGCCAAGCACCAAAAACCCAAAATACTGACCTTTTGGAATAAAATTCATGTAATAATAATACTATAACAAGCGAAAGATAGTATTATCATAGAATATTGCTAAACTTGTTTTCTTTTTTTGATGTAACAGTCATATAACCGGGACTGCCACAATAAACTACACTGAATACTAAAACTCATGAATATATATCCAGTGTATTCACATTGTATAAAAATAACATTCAGGTGGTGTTTCAATTTGAAGGCTTTTTTCCCTATTAAACTTTCAGACATTTTGTATTTCATAAAAAGGAAAGCACTTACTACAAAGTTTCTGTGTAGGAAAAAGATCTTCAGGTTCACCATTGTGACTCTTTTCTACTTTTTAATCAATAGGCATGAGCATGACATTTTCAAATTGGTATTCACAGTTTTAAAAAACCTTTTATTTTCTTTCTGATTATAAAGCAATAGCTGTTCAAGGTTGAAAACTTAATATGCTGATAAAATTAAAAATCATTCAGAATTGCTCAACCAGAGCCTTTATCTAGATATAAGCACATAATTTGCTTTTACGTATTTGGGATCATTCAATTTTGCATTCTACTTTTTCCACTTAACGTAATTTTTTTTTCTTTCTCTCTTCCCCTTTTCTGTGTTTTTCCAAGTATCACTATGGACCCATAGATTTTAATTTATTTTGGCATGTTTTGATCACTTACAGTTGCTAGTCTCTTTTGGTGCCCAAATTGTCACAAATTTGGCTAGTGGGAGCCCCTATTGTTCATGAGACATGACTCCATTAACCTTTTTTCTTTTTTAGTTGTAGTAAAATACACATAACATAAAATTTAGCATGTTTAAGTTTACATTTCAGTGGTATTAAGTATGGTCACATTCTTGTGCAACCAACATACAGAAGTTTTCATATTACAAAACTACAACTCTACACCTATTAAAAAACTTCCATTTTCCCCTTCTCCCAGCCCCTGACAACCACCATTCTACTTTATTACCTTTGGTTTCTATGAATGTGACTATTCTGGATATTTCACATAAGTGGAATCATACAGTATTTGTCTTTGTGACTGGCTTCTTTCATGTAGCATAATATCCTCAAGGTTTATGAATGCTATAGCATGTGTCAGAATTTCCTTCCTTTCTAAGGGTGAATAATACTCCATTGTATGTATATACCACATTTCGTTTATTTATTTTTCTGTAAATGGACACTCGAGTGGCTTATACCTTTTGGCTACTGTGAAGAATGTTGCTATGAACATGGAGGTACAAATACCTCGAGACCCGGCTTTAAGGTCTTTTGGATATATAGCCAGAAGTGGAATTGCTGAACTACATGCTAATTCTATTTTTAATTTTTTGAAGTACCACCTTACTTTTCACAGCAGCTGCACCATTTTATATTCCCATCAACAGTGCAAAAGTCTTCCAATTTCTCCACATCCTTGCCAATACTTTTTATTTCCTGTTATTTTGATAGTAGCCATCCTAATGGGTGTTCCATTAATCCTTGAACATTTTATCACATTCTGGCTGAGAAACTCTATGGTTTTTTCCCCTAAACATAGAATAAGTCATTTCTCCAAGAAGCTCTGCTTCTTTAAAGATTGGAATTCAGCAGCTAAGGTCTGTGTGCTTGGTGTGCTCATGGCATTGGGATAGCATTGCTACCAGAATATAATATTGTTTCTAGGCCCTTTCAGTAAACAAGAGCCAGAAAATATATTTTTTAAAATTATGAATTCACATTGACATTTTCAATTCGTATTTAACGTCAGAGAGGGTTTTATTTTATTTTATATTTTAATCTTTTCTCTTACAATGAAAGTATTGTTTCCTAGTAACGTGAATATATTTATTTGTTTTGCTATATAATATTCATAAGAAATTTCAAAATTTCATTATTAACATTAGTATTAATAATAATCATACTAAGAGAAATTTCAAGATCTTTTTGTCCTTAGAATCTAAGGCTTAAATATATCCACTAAGGATGTTGTATCAGAATGCTTTTTCTTTTCTCTGTATGACTATATTACAAATATAAACACTTGATTAATTAATTAGATTTGCTTGTTCCTGTTTGTGTTCAATTTTAGGGCTTGATTTTGTTTTTGTTTTTGTGAACATGTAAAATATTAACATGGTTGAAAAGTTAAAATCACATGGAACCAAACACTCCCTATATGTAACCATTTTTATTCACTTCTGATTTATCATTCTCCCTTAGTTGCCCCAAATAAGTAAACACGTATACATAATTCATATTTCCTCTTTTCTTACACAAAAACTAGTGTACTATGTATACTGCTCTGCTTCTTACTTTTTTTCTCTCTTTAACAGTGTTTTCTGGAAATCACTTCATGGTAATTCATAGAGACCAGCCTCTTTTTTTATTATTTTATTTTATTTTTTAAAAGGCTGCGTGGTAGTTCTTTACTAATGTACTGGGTTGCTTCCAATCTTTTGCTGTTATAAATAATATCATAATAAATGCTACATATACTGTTTTTATTTGAAAGGTCATATCTTCAGGGTGTATTCCTTGAGATTGCTGGTCTAAACGATAAATATGTGTATTTTTTTTGTTAGATTTTGCTAAATTTTTCTCCAGAGGGGCTGTGCCATTTTAGAACCCACTATCAATATATGAGAATATCTGTTTCTTCACAGCTTTGTTCACAGACCAGATTATTAAGGCTTAGAATTTTTACCAATCTGATAAGTGTTAAGTAGTATCTCTGTGCAGCTTTAATTTTAATTTCTCTGTTCTGCGTAAAGTTGAAAACTTGAGGACCCTTTGCTTTGCTTTTTATGTGAACTTCCATTTATGCTTTTTTGCCCATTTTTCTGTTTTATTTTATAATCTCTTTTTTTCTCAATTTTAAGGGCTTTTTATATATTAAGGAGATTAATCCTTTGTCTGATATAAAGTGCAGACACCGTACTTACCCCCAGTTTATCATTTGTCTTTTGACTTTTCCTGTCTTTTACTATACACAATTTCTTTTAAAATTCTTTTTAATGTTGCTGTATCAAGTTTTTATAGCTTCTAGATTTTTTTAGTCATAGTTAGAAAAGCTTTTTTCATATAATTATTTTAAAACATCAGGCCAGGCACAGTGACTCCCATCTGTAATCCCAGCATTTTGGGAGGCTGAGGTTGGTGGATCGCTTGAGCCCAGGAGTTCCAGACTAGCCTGGGGAACATGATGAAACCCTGTCTCTACCACAAATACAAAAAATTAGCTGGGTGTGATGGTGTGTGCCTGTGATCTCAGCTACTCAGAAGGCTGAGGTGGGAGGATCAGTTGAGCCAGGGAGGGAGAGGTTGTAGTGAGCCGAGATCTCACCACTGCACTCCAGTCTGGGCTACAGAGCCAGACCCTGTCTTAAAAAAAAAAATCAAAACCCGTGATTTTTGTAATCACATAATATTCCATATTCTCATAATTTAAAATCATTGAACATTAGTCCTTTTTTGCTGTTATAAACATCAAATATGTGACAAACATCTTTGTAAATAAATACTCACTTTTCCTACTATTTCCTAGGTCAAAAGGCATGATAGTAATTAAATTTGAAACACATTACTAAATTGTTTCCTAAACAGTACCAATTTACACTCCTACCATCTATACCCACAGCAGCCGTGTTTTAAAATTAAAGCCATGTTTTAATTTGCTACATTAAAACATTGCATTAGTTCTTCATTTGCCTTTTATATTCCTAAAGAACAAGACTTTTTCATACTTTTGACATTTTCACTCCTTCTGTAAATTATTGATTAATGGCCTTTGCCACCTTAGAAATTGGGAACTTAGTGTTTTTCTTATCACTTTGAGGGATCTCATTTCACAAGAAAAAAAACTAAAGGTTTTTATAAGTAAGACCAGGAAAATCAGAGGGTTAGAACATAAGATCTATGAGAAAAAGTTAAAGATCCATAGAATGAGACTGAGATTTGTGCTTATAATTAATTTTCTCAAATAAGCTTGTTTCCTAGCTTGAGAAGAGGGAAAAGCAGTGTGAAAAGCAGTGTTGCTCAGTTTCTGTTACCCTAGCAGTTGTGGAATGATGGACATGGCCTCCTCTCACATCCTGTTTCCGTGCTTTGTAGGCTCCCAGGGACCTTAGCTAGGCTGGACCTAAAAGGCAATGCCATCCGGGATATTTCTGAAAGGGAGGTCAGGGACCTCAAGCAGCTTCACGTTCTAAACCTGAGGAACAACAAAATCTCTGCCTTAGACCTGAAAGCCTTAGAGAGTCTGCCTTGCCTCAGGCACCTCTGCCTGGATGGAAATCCCTGGAATTGCACCCGCAGTCTCCTAAAAGCAAGAGAAGCCCTGATGGCCAAGGGCAAAGATGTAAGGGGAGGACAATGTGCAGCACCAGCTGAACATCAAGGGGAGAGCTGGATGTCTTCCAAGAAGATCATGAGGCAATGTGAGCATCACGTACATCTGACTGAGAAAAACAAAGAGACCAAAAAGAAATCAAAACCTGACGACCCCTCCAGCATCAGAATCAACATGGATGATGATGATTATGACTATGAAATAGACTAAGTATGAACTTTGTTCACAGTTTGGAAAGTGTTTTTTAATGTTCAGTCTCTTAAGTAGAAATGTGCTATACATTTAGATATACAAGACTTTCTTTTGTAGTGGTTCCTATTTTTTTTTTTTTTTTTGAGAATGTTTAAGAACAAGGGTTAAGATGAGATGGGGGAAGAAAGCAGAAAAGAACAATGGTAAGAAGATTTGTAAGATTCCTTCCATTTTATAAGTAATTTGTGTGGCTAGCAAGATGGCTGAATAGGAACAGATCCAGTCTGTAGCTCCCAGTGACAGCAATGCAGAAGGGTGATAATTTCTACGTTTCCAACTGATATAGTTGGCTTATCTCATTGCGACTGGTTAGACAGAGTGTGCAGCCCACAGAGGGCAACCCAAACCAGGGTGGGGCATCACCTCACCTGGAAAGCACAAGGAATCAGGGAACTCCTTCCTCTAGCCAAGGGAAGCTGTGAGGGACTGTGCCATGAGGGATGGTTCGTAGCAGCCCAGATACTATGCTTTTCCCATGGTCTTCGCAACTCTCAGACCAGGAGATTCTCTCAGGTGCCTACACCACCAGGACCCTGGGTTTCAAGCAAAACCTGGGCAGCCATTTGGGGAGAAACTGAGCTAGCTGAAGAAGTTTTTTTTTTTTTTTTCATACCCCAGTGGCACTTGGAATGCCAGTGAGACAGAACAGTTCAATCCCCTGGCAAGGGGCCTGAAGCCAGGGAGCCAAGTGGTCTAGCTCAGTGGATCCCACTTTTATGGAGCCCAGCAACCTAAGATCCACTGGTTTGAAATTCTCACTGACAGCACAGCAGTCTGAAGTCAACCTTGGACTCTAGAGCTTGTTGAGGAGAGGGACGCCTACCATTATTGAGGCTTGAGTAGGCGATTTTCCCCTCACAGTATAAATAAAGCCACTGGGAAATTCAAACTGGGCAGAGCCCACTGGTGCACCACAAAGTCACTGTAGCCAGGCTGCCTCTCTAGGTTCCTACTTTCTGGGCAGAGCATCTCTGAAAGAAAGGCAGCAGCCCCAGTCAGGGACTTATAGATAAAATTCCCATCTTCCTGGGACAGAGTACCTGGGGGAAGGGGCGGCTGTGGGCACAGCTTCAGCAGACTTAAACGTTCCTGCCTGCCGGTTCTGAAGAAGGCAGTGGATCTCACAGAACAGTGCTCAACCTCTGTTAAATGACAGACTGTCTCCTCAAGTGGGTCCCTGACTCTTGTGCCTCCTGACTGGGAGACATCTCCCAGCAGGGGTCAACAGAAACCTCATACAAGAGAGCTTTGGCTGGCATCTGGGACAAAGCTTCCAGAGGAAGAAACAGGTAGCAACCATTGCTGTTCTGCAGCCTCCATTGGTGATATCCAGGCAAACAGGGTCTGGAATGGACCTCCAGCAAACTCCAGCAGATCTGCAGAAGAGGGGCCTGACTGTTAGAAGGAAAACAAACAGAAAGGAGTAGTATCAACATGAACAAAAAGGATGTCTGCACAGAAACCCAATCTGAAGGTCACCAACATCAAAGACCAAAAGTAGATACATCCATGAAGATGAGGAAAAAACTGCACAAAGAGGCTGAAAATTCCAAAAACCAGAATGCCTCTTCTCCACCAAAGGGTCACAACTCCTTGCCAGCAAGGGAAAAATATTTGATGGAGAATGAGTTTGATGAATTGACAGAAGTAGGCTTGAGAAGGTGGGTAATACAAACTCTTCCAAGCTAAAGGAGCATGTTTTACCCCAATGCAAGGAAGCTAAGAATGTTGAACAAAGGTTAGAGGTATTGCCAACTAGAATTACCAGTTTAGAGTAGAACATAAATGACCTGATGGAGCTTAAAAACACAGCATGAGAACTTTGTGAAGCATACACAAGTTTCAGTAGCTGAATTGATCAACTGAAAGAAAGGATATCAGAGATTGAAGATCAGCCCAATTAAATAAAGCATGAAGACAAGATTAGATAAAAAATGAAAAGAAACAGAGCCCCCAAGAAATATGGGACTGTGTGAAAAGACAAAACCCACATTTGACTGGTGTACCTGAAAATGACAAGGAGAATGGAACCATGTTGGAAAACGCTCTTCAGGATTATCCAGGAGAATGTCCTCAATCTGGCAAGACAAGCCAACATTCAAATTCAGGAAATAAAGAGAACACCACAAAGATACTCCTTAAAAAGAGCAACCCCAAGACACATAATTGTTAGATTCACCATGGTTGATATGAAGGAAAAAATGTTAAGGGTAGCCAGAGAGAAAGGTTGGGTTTTCCTCAAAGGGAAGCCCATAAGACTAACAGAGGATCTGTCTGTAGAAAGCCTACAAATCAGAGAGAATGGGGACCAATATTCAACATTCTTAAATAAAATAATTTTTAAACCAGAATCTCATGTCCAGCCAAACTAAACTTCATAAGCAAAGGAGAAATAAAAGCCTTTACAGGCAAGCAAATGCTGAGAGATTTTGTCACCAGCAGGCCTGCCTCACAAGAGCTCCTGAAGGAAGAACTAAATATGGAAAAGAAAAACCTGTACCAGCCACTACAAAACATACCAAATTGTAAAGACCATTGACACCATGAAGAAACTGCATCAACTAATGGGCAAAATAACCAGCTAGCATCATAATGACAGGATCAAATTCACACATAACAATATTAACTTTAGATGTAAATGGGCCAAATGCCCCAATCAAAAGACACAAACTAGCAAATTGGATAAAGAGTCAAGACCCATCAGTGTGCTGTATTTAGGAGGCCCATCTCACGTGCAAAGACACATATAGACTGGAAATAAAGGGATGAATTAATATTTACCAAGCAAGGCTGGGCGCGGTGGCTCAAGCCTATAATCCCAGCACTTTTGGAGGCCGAGGCGGGTGGATCACGAGGTCAAGAGATCAAGACCATCCTGGTCAACATGGTGAAACCCCGTCTCTACTAAAAATACAAAAAAAATTAGCTGGGCATGGTGGCGTGTGCCTGTAGTCCCAGCTGCTCAGGAGGCTGAGGCAGGAGAATTGCTTGAACCCAGGAGGCAGAGGTTGCGGTGAGCCGAGATCACGCCATTGCACTCCAGCCTGGGTAACAAGAGCGAAACTCCGTCTCAAAAAAAAAAAAAATATTTACCAAGCAAATGGAAAGCAAAAAAGAAGCAGGGTTTGAAATCCTAGTCTCTGATAAAACAAACTTTAAACCAACAAAGATCAAAAAAGACAAAAAGGACATTACATAATGGTAAAGGGGTCAATACAACAAGAAGAGCTAACTATCCCAAATATATATATGCACTCAATACAGGAGCACCCAGATTCATAAAGCAAGTTTTTAGAGACCTACAAAGAGACTTAGAAACACAATAATAGTGGGAGACTTAACACCTCACTGTCAGCATTAGACAGATCAGCAAGTTGGAAAATTAACAAGGATATAGAGGACTTGAACTCAGCTCTTGACCAAGTGGACCAAATAGAAATAGAAATCTCCAGAACTCTCCACTCAAAATCAACAGAATATACATTCTTCTCAACACCACATTGTATGTATTCTAAAATTTACCACATCATTGAAACTAAAACACTCCTCAGCAAATGCAAAAGAATGGATATCATAACAAACAGTCTCACAGACAACAGTGCAATTGAATTAGAACTCAGGATTTAGAAACTCACTCAAAACTGCACAACTACATGGAAACTGAACAACCTGCTCCTGAATGACTACTGGGTAAATAACAAAATTAAGGCAAAAATAAATATGTTATATGAAACCAATGAGAACAGATACCATGTACCAGAATCTCTGAGACACAGCTAAAGCATTGTTTAGGGAAATTAATACCGCTAAAATATCCATAGGAAAATGAAGGAAAGATCTAAAATTGACATCCTAACATCACAATTAAAAGAACTAGAGAAGCAAGAGCAAACAAATTCAAAGGCTAGCAGAAGACAAGAAATAACTAAGATCAGAGCAGAACTGAAGGGGATAGAGACACGAAAAACCCTTTAAAAAATCACTGAATCCAGGAGCTGATTTTTTGAAAAGATTAACAAAAGAGATAGACCACTAGCCAGACTAATGAAGAAAAGAATCAAATAGACACAATAAAAAATGATAAAGGGGATATCACCACTAGTCCCACAGAAATACAACTACCGTCAGTGAATACTGTAAACACTTCTATGCCAATAAACTAGAAAGTCTAGAAGAAATGGGTAAATTCCTGGACACATACACCATCCCAAGACTAAATCAGGAAGAAGTCAAATCCCTGAATAGACCAGTAACAAGTTCTTAAATTGAGGCAGTAATTATTAGCCTTCCAACCAAAAAAAGCCCAGGACTGGACAGGATCACAGCCACATTCTACCAGAGTTACGGAGAGGAGCTGGTACCATTCCTTCTTAAATTATTTTAAACAACAGAAAAAGAAGGACTCCTCCCTAACTCATTTTATGAGACCAGCATCATCCTGATACCAAAACCTGGCAGAGACACAATAAAAAAGGGAAATTTCAGGCCAATATCCCTATCCAACGTTGATGCGAAAATCCTCAGTAAGATACTGGCAAACAGAATACAGCAGCACATCAGAAAGCTTATCCACCATGATCAAGTTAACTTCATACCTGGCATGCAAGGCTGGGTCAACATATGCAAATCAATAAACGTAATCCATCACATAAACAGAACCAATGAAAAAAACCCCATGGTTATCTTGACAGATGCAGAAAAAGCCTTCAATAAAATTCAGCACCACATCATGCTAAAAACTCTCAATAAACTAGGTATTGATGGAATGTATCTCAAAATAATCAGAGCTATTTATGACAAACCCACAGCCAATATCATACTAAATGGGCAAAAGTTGGAAGCATTCCCTTTGAAAACCAGCACAAGTCAAGGATGCTCTCTCTTAACACTCCTATTCAACATATTATTGGAAGTTTACCCAGGGCAATCAGGCAAGAGAAAGAAATAAAGGTATTCAA